TCTGACTTCATGCCTGAACCTCAATCTTCTAGTTCTATGTCTTCACTATTTTGTGGGTTTCACATTTCCTCTCCAAAAGTAACTGTAATTCAAGGAAGGTCACCAGGAAGATGCTGGAGCCAAACACTGCTAAAGCCAAACACATTTAAAAGTTGTCTTCTTTGAAGCAGAAAAAGTTGTTTTGAATCTTCAGTTGGGAGCAATGAATTGACATTGTTGAATCTGCTGCTGACTCTCAGATTTAGAAATTGCTAAATTTAAAAAATCATTTATTGAAGGACATGATGGAAAATAATCCACTCAAGACTTCTTAAAATCCTGTGCAGAGCAACACTTGGTCATCTTTAAGAACTGAAGACAATTACTAGTGCCTAAAGGTGTGACACTAACTGAAACTCAGTGTCCACTGAAAGAGGTGTAGAACTCAGATAATTATCTGTGGAACCTCACTGTATTGTGAAATCACCTTTTTTATCTGTCATTGCTAGCAGATGGGAACACAACTAACACTGACTTTTTTAAACGAATGGCTCTCTGTGCTATTTCCCCCTTCTTCACTCCCCTTCAAAAAAAATTAATATTCATACTTCTAATTCCATCTCCTTCCCTGCTCACTGCTGTGAGCCATTTGTTACAGTCTTCATCTTTGCAGGCAGAAAAGATATGGAAAATAACTCCAGTGTTGACTGAGGGGCCACATATTTCATTGCACAGTGATTCATTTATTGTCTCCATCTCAGTCTCTCTCTCTTCTCCATCAGAAACATCAACTTCCACATCTCACGTATGAGCAAAAATATCTTCTTGCTTAGGTGGCCTTTCCAATCTTAGTTGCAGTATCCTGTCTCCCTCTCAAACAGCCACCACCAGCCAACATGCCAATACTAAAGCCCCACCCCATTAAGTAGCTCTGCCAACATCTCCATTATATAGGGTCTACTTTCAAAGCTTTATAATAACTCATCCATAAAAAAAATTCACTTCATACTGATACTTGGCACACCAAGTTATGAACACACTGGGGAAAAACAATGTTTAAATTATAGGATGCAAACAAATATTCAGAGTTGAATTTTGTGTTTTTATGTGTAAGTCACACAGCCTAAAACAGTTTCATTTTTCTCAATTCAATTTTGCAGTTTATTCATCCAGAAAGTAAACTAGGCACTTTTGGTATTTGTATGAAGGGGTGGAGGTAGGGGACGTACACGGCTGTGATAACCGTGTAAAAGCATTTTCTGAGCATGCACAGGCTTTTATGGAGCCACAGCACATAAATACCTAATCTGAAGAATTAGATTGTAGTTCCAAATACTAGCATATGTTTTGGAGGTGCAGTGCTTCCTAAAATCCAGCAATGTTTCAATTACTAATGACTTCGAAGTATCCTCCCTTCCTCACTGTTTTCTGTTCAGTCACTAGACTGACAGGTTCAGTTTATTGGATTCCAGTGCCAAGGAGCTGAGAACATTCTATGTCACAGAATATATCTAGGCATCTATATGGCCTCCATCACTGTAGTGTATGAGTGCCTAAAAAGAACATGAATAAATTTATCCTCAACACCCTATCGCCAGGGGCGGCTCTATGTGTTTTGCCGCCCCAAGCACGGCAGTCAGGTGGGCTTCGGTGGCACGCCCGCGGGCGGTCCGCGGTCTCGGTGGCGTTTCTGTGGGTGATCTGCCGGTCCCGCGGCTTCGGCGTACCCACTGCCGAATTGCCGCCGAAACCGTGGGACCGGTGGACCTCCCGCAGGCACTCTGCCGAAGGCTGCCTGACTGCCGCCCTCACAGCGACTGGCAGGCCACCACCCGGGGCTTGCCGCCCCAGGCACGGGGTTGCTGGTGCCTGGAGCCGCCCTTGCCCTTCGCAACAGGGGGAAGTGTTATTACCCTCATTTTACTGACAAAGAATGGAGACAGATAGATTAATCGTCAGATTGTGATCCTGTTACACTGAATAGTACCTTACACAATGAACAGTTTTACCTGAGTTAATGGAACTACTTGTCGAGTAATTTACTACTCAGTGCGAGTTAAGGGACTGAATCTGGTTCTAAGTGACTTGCCTAAAGTCACACAGGAAGTCTATGGCACATGAGGGAACTGAAGCAGCTATGTTTCAGCCACAGTGGTAATACCCAGCGTTACTTGGCCTTTATACCTCAATTTTTTTAAAAACGTCAGCAAGAAAACAACTATAGCAAATTCTTATCTATATGCATAATGTATGAGATTTCTATGGAATGGCCATATAGAATCTTCAATAAGTCCCACTAGAGTCCCTTCTGATTTTCTGATGTGGCCATGAAAAAAAGTGTTTGTTTTGGGGTGCAGTTCTCACACAATGAGCACAGTTATTGTCTGGTTAGTCAGTGTGCTGTGTTGCTTATATCTCCATCTATGTAAATGGCTGACAGACTACCCTCTTCATCCATGCCTTCAGAAAGTGCAGCTCGTGAAATCAGGTTGTCTGATCAGATCCAGACTGAAGCATTGCAGAGCCTGTCTTGTAAGTGTAAGAAAATGAGCCTTGCTGCTCACATTTTGAGTTGATTAATGGAACATTTATCCTCCTCTGCCCCAATTTTTAAAGGAAGGGAATTAACAAGAAAACATGACAGTTCCCGAGCTGTTACTATCATCTGTGATCAGAGTTATTCAACAGGGGGGCAAAGGTCAGATTTCTTGTTGAACTGTCATTACATAAGCAATAGGCCCTAACTTAGGCAGTCAGCAGCAGGAATTTCTGGGAGCCTTTAGAATCTGGTTTCCTTTCAGAGAGCAAAAAAGTGTGAGAAGGTCTCATGGACTTCACTATTAACATATTAAGCTAAGATCTGCTCTGTCTGCCTGGGGTTTCCACATGAAATTTAAAGGCAATACTTTTTACCTATAAACCCCCCAAATGACGAAGGGCCTACCAATCAGAGAGACTGCCTCTCTCTCTATGCTGTACTACCACAGGTGAGAACACCTGAGGTGCACAACTTGGATCCACACTGGCATAAGTGAGAAAGGGCTTCTGACAGGATATTCTTTGTGAGGGCTTCAGGGCTTTGGACTTCACTCCCCCATCTATGGTCTAAGGCAGCTTTAATCTGATGGACCTTCCTGGCACATTGCAAAGCTTGTCTTTTTTTGCCAGACATTTGAAAATGGAGGAAAAGGAGAATTGTAGAATGGGGAGTTGTTGGATGGGCGTTATTACATTTTACGGCTGCAAAGAGGGTATTTTTGTGATACATTTTTAAATTAAGACAAGAATATATACATAGGTGCCCTTTTTAGCATGTACATATATAAAGTAAATCAATACAGATGTGTGCTCAGTGTTTCAGGCTTGTAAACACGAAACTCTGTGCTTTCAAACAAACATTCCCACATCAAAATAGGTGTAGCAGTTGCAGAATTTATACTTCCTGTCCAGTTTGAGACACTTATCCTGGGTCAGAAAAGTCTTGTCCATTTCTATGCTAAATATTGTTCCTTTACATTCTAGCTTCTGGAATGATTCCTAGGAACACTCTTCATATTTCATGATCTAATTGTACAACCCTAGGAAGGACCCTATTTTGGGAATGGCTTCCCTGGCCGATGGGTCCTCGTATTTAACTAAAGAGGGCTACTGACAGAACGAACATTACCTTAGTAAAAAGTTCGTGATGCTGTGGTTAGACTAAAACATCAGACTAATTAGTAAATGCCTGGCCTCCTTTGGATCTCGGTAGCAAAGGAACTATCTCAAGTTGAAAGCTTGTATCATTGATTTTCAGTATTCCATTCTGGAAGCTCAAACTGCAGAAATGAATTCACCTTCTTAGGGGTATCAAAAAGAGGCACCTAGATACTCTGGAAAAGAGGGTGCTGCCATACCAAGACAGAGCCCACACTCCTGCCTATTGAGCATGTGCAAGCTAAGAGGTTCCAGCTATACTTCCTGGATCGTATACTGTGTTTATCACCGTAGTACTGGTGCATTTATTTGTTCTACTGTAACCTTTTTCATCTCTTGGTCTTCTACCCTAACTGGGATGTGGGAAAGGAGATTATTCTGCAGTGGAGGTTTCTGTCAGGCTACTACTATAGCTGACTCATCTTTTCTCCATAGGAACCACTATGGAATTCCTGTAGGAGTTTCAACGGGATTAGTAACATTTATTTTTGGATCAACAACGCATCAAATGTGGGGACCAAAATTCAGTTTATTCAGTCTTGTATTTAAGTCCGCCACCAACTTGAATTTTTATAGAGAAAGGTAATTTCCAAGTATCAGAGGGGTAGCTGTGCTAGTCTGGATCTGTAAAAGCAGCAAAGAGTCCTGTGGCACCTTATAGACTAACAGACATATTGTAGCATGAGCTTTCCTGGGTGAATACCCACTTCTTCAGATGCACCCTATAAGGTGCCACAGGACTCTTTGCTGCTCTATAAAAATTGTGTATCTATTATAGTTAACTAACATAATAACTGAAAGAAGTAAGCACAAATATCTTTAAGTTTGCTTAATTTGTATATTTAACTGTGCTTTACATATAGTTAGTTTCATGGCTTGTCTTAGTCAGTTTCTCTGCTGCTGAGAGATATTAACATGGGAATATAACCTTTAAAGAGGGAAATTAAAAAATATTCTTGACGTACAATATCAAAGATTTTTCTATCAGAAATTGCAATTCTTTTAAACTAGTTAATTTAGTCAAGCTGACAATGTCCCTTCCAACCTCATAACAAAGAGCATTTTCATCATTAGACCATTTGAAAAAAGCCCCACATTCCTCTTCCCAAAGCACTATTACTTCAGAAGAACAGGAGCCACATGCATGGGATTCTTAAGCCACTGACTCCTATGCAACCTCTTCCTCATGCAGGGGATTCCTAAATTCATTTGGTCTCCTACTTCCTGCGTGATGTAGGTTTGAACAGCACAACAGAGTAGGTTTGGCTTTTATGATGCAAATTTCCACTTTAAATTCAAGAAGTAATTACAGTATTTTAACATAC